AAAAAAAAAAAAAAAAAAAAAAAAAAAAACCAAAAAAAAAGAAAGAAAAGAAAAGGCCAAATTAGTCTTTAAAACTCTGGTCTGTCTTTTTGAGGTCCGCTCATATATATGGGGGAGAAAAATTGTACAATATAAATTGTCACTGGATATGTTACCAGTATGACTTCTACTGTAGTATCATTAGGCCTCAGATCTATAACTTCAGTAAGCCTCATTGGTATTCTCTGTCCTCCTTCAGTCTGGCTTTGATGCTAAATATTATTTGCTGCGATTATCAAAATGCTGAATGCCTTCTGCTCTTGGGAAAGAAGGGTGCCAGAGTACACACTTTATATCCTATACAAAAGAGATGCTGAGGGGACCAGCAGTTAGCGTAATGGCTATGTCACTGAACTCCCATGTAGTCAACCGCGGTTCGAGTCCCGGACCCAGTGGCTTAATAAACTCACGCTGGGCACATGTGTGTGTGTGCCCAAGAACCTGAAAAAGGAGGAGACTGTGGCGTGGCCATCCCCCCAGGGGGTGATTTCTCGCTTTCTGTCTCTCTGTCTTTCTGGCGAGCACATGAGCCCTATAGAAAAAAAAAAAAAAAAACTCTCCAAAAAAAAAAAAAAGGAGACGCTGAGGCTTGCGTGGGAGATGGCCCTTTTGACCCTAGCACAGATAAGTCACAACTATGTCCAGACATTGATAATTATATATTCACAAACTGAAGAGTCCTTACAGAGTACATACCTGTTTCTGGCTTTCCTGAAGTTGAGAATTTTCATCCAAAGCATCTTTTATTGCTACTTTGAGTCGTTCTTCATTCATTTGAAATATTTTGAAGGTTGTTTTGGCCTAAGTAAAATTTAAAAATACTGAGTTTATTAACAATTAATTTAATGTAAGAGCTCATCTTCACAAGTATTCCCTAGAACTTATGGAACTAAGACAAAGTAAAAATATGCCAATATCAGAACCAGCAGATGGAATAATGGTTACATTGCCTGATTCCCACATGGCCAACTGCAGTTCACATCCTGGACTTGGTGTCTTGAAACTCACACCAGGTACATGTGTGTGTTCAAGATCCTGGGAGAATGGATGAGAAGGGATTGCAACATGGCTATACCCCTTGGGGGCTGTTTTCTTGCTTTCAGTCTCTGTCTCTCCAGAGAGTGTACATACCCTATAGCAAAAATCTCTTTTTTTAGAAAAAAGGCCAATATTAATAGCAGAGTTAGCACAGTGCAGTAGAAAAATGACTGGCCTAGAATCAGGGTATAGTCCTGACTGGACCACTAACATGCCACATGACCATGGACAAGTGATTTAACTTCTTATAACCTCCACATACTATGCAACAAATTTTAACTATTTAACTATCCACTCTGTCTCCCTTACTAAAATATATACTCTATGAAGGCTTTAATGTCAAGTGCTAAGCATTCTCAACAGCACTCAGTATTTAATAACAATTCAATAAATACCTGTCCAATAAATAAACTTTTCTGAAATACATCACATAAAAAAATGCATTATGGAGACCAGCAGGTGACATAATGGATACATCACTGGACTCTGACATGGCCAACCGCAGTTCAAGTCCCAGACTCAGAGGCTTAAAACTCATGCTTGTGGGCCCAGCACGTGGCGTGGTGGTCAAGGCGCTGGACACTCCCACATGGCCGACCAGGGTTCAAGTCCTGAATCTGGTGGCTTGCTTTCTCACTTCCTCTCTCTCTCACTCTCACTCTCTGTCTCTCTCTGGTCAAATTAAAAAATAAAGGAATGAATAAATAAAAAATAAAATAAAATAAAATAATTAAAAAAAAAAAAAACTCATGCTTGTTAGTGCATGCCCAAAATCCCAAGAGGAGAATGGAGGACAAAGGATTGTGATGTGGCCATCCATCCTAGGGGATGATTTCTCACTGTCTCTCTGTCTTTCCAGCGAGGATATGTGTCCTATAGCAAAAATCTCCCTTAAAAGAAATAGAAAAAAATGCGCTATGTAAGGCCCAGTCACAGCGACACAGGTAGGAGGTCACTGCTGCACTACTGGAGCCGTGTGGTAGGCCCAGGATTCACATCCCAGGTTAATCTGCATACAGTGGACCCACTCACATACATGTTCGTTATTCTGGCAGGCTGAAAGGCTAGTAGGAGCATCCTGGCATGGTAAAACCCTGTCAAGTGGGGGAAGGGTGTCCCTGTCATCTGTTTATATCTCATTAAAAAAGAAAAAAAAGGAAAGTATTTTTCTAAATGTGTATCTAAGATCTCTATATCTCAAATTGTAATATATCTTATTCATTAATAACAAAAACAGAACAAAATTAAACTAATTTTCAAAAGCAACAGACCTATGAGACTAATTCAACTTACTTCAGCTACTTGTGCTTTGAGGGATTTTGATTCATCTTCCAGGGACTGTATTTTTTTTGAAATATCTGCCATCTGCAAAGACAGTATTAGTCAATAAACAAGTATTTACTAAACTTCCTGTTTCCAAGATACCACACATTATAACTTAATACTTCTGCTCCATAAGTCAGTGATCAAATTAAGAAATCTCAGTCTGGGCTGCCCTGCAGTCTGGTGGTTGGTCAAGGGAGGCCGGATCCCACATGGTCAACCACAATTCAAATCCTGACCCTAACAGCTTGAAAAACATGCCAGACAAGTGTGCATGTGTGCTCAAAATCCTGACAGGGAAGAGAAATAAAGGAGAGGAAATTGTAGCATGACCACACCCCACTAGGAGGTGCTTTCTCCCTCTCCCTGCTTCTGCTCTCTCTGATGAGTGCAAGTGCTCTCTGCAACTATAAATATTATTTATTTATAAATAAAAGTAGGGATTTTATACAAAAGTTACATAATAATCTCATCTTGTCTATACTATTACATAACACTTAAGGTATATGGTCTCTAAAATTAGTCAAGCAACACCATATCTATCTTGCTATCAATAAATAATCTTACACAGGGCCAACAGGTGCTGTGGTGGTTAAGGCACTGGTCTCCCAAATGCCCAACTGCAGTTTGAGTCCTAGATCTGGCAGCTTGAAAATCATGCCAGGCACATGTGTTTATGTGCCCAGAATTCCACGAAGAGAACAACTGCGGTGTGGCCATTCTCCCCCACCACCAGAGGGTGATTTCTTGCTTTCCTTATCACTACGTCTCTCACTCTCCAAAAAGCATACATACCCTATGACAAAAACCTTAAAAAAGAAAAAAATTACAATTTGGGGCCAGTAGGTGGCATAATGGTTAAAGCACTGAACTCCTACATGTTCAACTGTGGTTTGAATTCCAGACCTAAAGGCTTAAAACTCAAACCTCCAGTAGGTGCGTGCATGCCCAAAATCCCGAAAGGAGAATAAAGGAGAATAAAGGAGAAGGGATGGCCACGTGGCCACACCTCCTTGGGGATGATTTCACACTCTCGCTTTCTGTCTCTATCCCTCCCATGAGCACACATGCCATATAACAAAAATCTCTCTTTAAAAAAAAACCTTACACACAAAATTTTCCTTAAACTGGATTTTAAAGCAAAAACACAAAATCACAACACTCTTTTTCTATAATTCGTTATTTTAAATATTTATGTTACCTTTTTATTTAGTACTTTTTTTTTTTGGAGAGATTTTTGCTATAGGGTGCGTGCACTCGTCAGACAGAGAGAGACAGAGAGACAGAAAGCGAGAAATCACCCCCCAGAGGGGATGGCCATGCCGCAATCCCTTCTCCTCCATTCTCCTCTCGGGATCTTGGGCACGCATGCACACGCGGCCGGCATGAGTTTTAAGCCACCGGGTCCGGCAAACGAACCACGGTCGACTACGTGGGAATCCAGCAACATAGCCATTACGCTAACAATTTTATTTTATTTTAAACAATCGGGACCAGCTGATAGCGTAATGGCTACTGGACTCCCATGTAGTCGACCGCAGTTCAAGTCCCAGACCCAGTGGCTTAAACTCACATCAGGTACGTGTGCGTGCATGCCCAAGATCCGGAGATGAGAATGGAAGAGAAGGGATTGTGGCATAGCCATGTCCCCTGAGAGGGTGATTTATCACTTTCTGTCTCTCTGTCTCTCTCTTTCTGGTGAGTGCATGCATCCTATAGCAAAAGTCTCTCAAAAACAAAACAAAACAAAATAAAACAATTATTTTATTTAACTTTCTTTCTTTTAGTTTGACCAGAGAGGGACAGAGTGAGAGAGAAAGAGAGAGAGAGAGAGAGGGAGGAAGAAACTGAGACTCAAACTGTGGTCAGCCATGTGGGAGTCCAGCGCCCTTAACCACCACACCACCTACTGGATCCTATTATTATTTTCCAATTTGCTATAGATCACATGCACTCACCAGAGAGAAACAGAGAGGGAGGGAAAATGAGAAAGTAAGCTGCCAGGTCCAAGACTTGAACCACAGCCAGCCACATGGGAGTCCTGGACCTTAACAACCATGCCACCTGCCAGTCCCATAATGTTCTTAAACACACTTTTTTGTTTGTTTGTTTGTTTGGAGAGGTTTTTGCTATAGGGCGTGTGTGCTCGCCAGAAAGAGAGAGACAGACAGAAAGGCAGAAATCACCCCCCAGGGGGGATGGCCACACCGCAATCCCTTCTCCTCCATTCTCCTCTCGGGATCTTGGGCACGCACACACATGCACCAGGCATGAGTTTAAGCCACCGGGTCTGGGACTCGAACTGTGGTCAACTACATGGGAGTCCAGCGACATAGCTATTATGCTAACTGCTGGTCCCTTAAACACACCTTTTAAGTAATAAAAAAAAAAATCCACTACAAATGTATGTCATTTTTCAACTTAAATTTATTTATATGAGCTACTTCCATAGAGTACATAGAAAATTTATGTAAGATGAAAGAAACAACATAGTAACATCTAGGAAGTGAAGGACAAATCTGAAAAACTATGTACTATACGTTACAGCTTTTTGTATTTGGTTAGCCTTTTTTAGGTAGTTTGTTATAGGGCATGTGTGTCTGCAGGAGAGAAATAGAGACAGATAGTGACAGGATGTGAGAAATCATACCCCAGAGGGTTGGCCACATCTTAACCCCTTCTCTTCCATTCTCCTTTTATGATTTTGAGCGCACGTACACATATGCCAAACGTGATTTTCAAACCACTGGGTCTGGAACTTGACCTGCGCAATCGGTCATGTGGAATCCAGCCACCTTAACCTCCACACCACCTACTGGCCCATTGTTTGTTCTTTTCACAGTGCATGTAATACTTTAACCAATATTATATTAATTTTTAAAATCTCAATAATTTTCTCTTATAGACTCTTAAATACGAAAGACTTACCAATTCATCTTGTTTAGAATGTTTAGATTTCTCTTCTTCTAACTCTTTTTCTAGAAAGAGTATTTCATCCTCAAGTTTAGATTTGGACCTGTTCAGTTCTTCACAGGTTGCCTAACAGAGAAGGCCAAAACAACAAAACAAAAAAAAAGAGAGAGAGAAATCCAGCTCCTTACAACAGACATGGGAATTTTTGGTTAGGGTAAATCAGATGAGTATAATCAAATATATATAGTTATTACAAGTTAAGTAAGTTTCATTTATATATTTGCTCATTTTTATATTGAATTCTAACAAAGGTCAGCAAACTTTCTGTAAAGAGAGTAAATATTGTAGGCTATGCATTCTCAGTAAAAATATTTTGCAGAAAGAAACAAAGGTAATATCCAATGAATGAGTATACCTATATTACGATAAAATTTTATTTATAAAAACAGGTAAACAGCCCACTAAGTACTGTTTGCCAACCTCTACTTAAGGAATTTTAAAGAAAAAATAAATTAAGTTCAATTTAATATAAAGATATAATAATATTCAAAATATACTCAAAAACCAATCAAGATTGCTTCATGGTAATATTTCACAATGAATTAAGATATTTTCTGTAACCATTTTAATTTAAAATGATTAGTTACTGGATTAATCCAATTAGATTTTAAAATACTAACATACCTCTGATAGTTGTGATCCTTCAACAAACTTGTTAAAAAAAAAACCAAAAGATTCAAAGAATTTAATGAAGACCAAAATAAAAGCAAAACAAATGTACAGCACTTACATCAGTTTAAAAGAGAAAAAAAATTTGTTTACATATATTTCCCCAAATTTGACTATTTCATTACAAGAATTCTAACTTGGGTGAAAAATTAATCTGTTGATTTGATCTGATCTACAGATTCAATCATAGAGTTTTTATAAAACACATCACATTATAATTTATATTCAATTCTGATTACTATTCCTGATATACTGTATGTTAAAAAAGCTAGTAAAACTAGAGAAAATTTTCCAAAAATGTTCAATTCAGCTAAAAATCAGCTCATTTTACTTATATAAATTCACAGACTAGAGAATAAATTGGTACATTTTATTTCATCTACAAAACCATCACACTTAAGTGGTGGTATTGCAACTGATAATGCAACCAGTTTTTGCTCTTCCATTAATATGAGAAATACCACCTAAAACTTTTATTTATCAAATTAATAAATTACTATTGAGACAACAGGTAAAACAGAGTCAATAAAATACAATAATTTCAACAAGTTCTTGAGGATACTGATAGGTAACAAAAGAAGAAGAAATTGGGGGCCAGACAGTAACACAGCAGAAATGCAAGGGGATCCACAAACACATGAAGTAAAACATGTACATGTGAGGCATGAGCCCATGATGCAGGCTGGCTAAGGCTGAGGGTGAATCATGGCATGAAGACCTTGCTGGGAGTGCTTATCTTTCCATCTCTTTCAAGGAAAAAATTAAAATAAACTTTAAAAAAATAATAATAAAGGGTTAGGCTAGTTAGCTAGCGATTAAAAGAGCCAGATATCACATCGCTGATTGCAGTTCAAATACCATCATCAAAGGCTTGAAAAACGTGCCAGGAACACATGCATGTGTGCCCAAAATCCCAACAGCATAGAGAAATGGAGAAGAGATTACAGTATGACCATACCCCATTGGGGGGAAAGGGTGCTTTTCTTCTCTCTCTGTTTCTGTCTGTCTATTTTGAGCATACATACCTTTAGGCAAATTTTTAAAAAGGATTAAGAAATTTATTTGAAATCCAATATGTAAGTTCCTTTTCATTCTACTAGGAAATTCTGTACCATGACACTTAGACTTTCTGATGACTACAGACATCAGTGATTGAGAACTGCTAAGCTAGACTGAACTCTTCCACCAGAGTTAACAAAGGTAACAAAGTCTATTACTGTCTATTTAATCAGTAGCAAAAGCAGGCTTCCTCGCTTGTCCTTTATCACTACCAAGTTTTTACAATACTTCCACCTCTAAACAGTAGGAAGGCACTCCTATCAATTATTCAGCTCTCTTACTTCATCTAAACTATCATACTTTTCTTCCTTAAAATGAGCTGAATCACACCTGGCTCAGGAAAGTTGTGCCTATCTTTCCAAGCTCTTCATTCAGTGACATCATGTTGGTAGCTTGAAACCAGCCATGGTTAAGAGTATATATACCACAAAACTCAATAAATGTTACAAATAAGGATTTCTACTTTCGAGAGAGCCAGTTGTTACAAATTTTCTAGCATACCACCACTTACAATGCAAACCTTTGCTCTAAAGTTCTATTGGGGCATTAGGAAAGTCATGACACATAGAGAAAAAAGACATCATGACTTTCCTGATGACCCAACAGTTAGCTCCTAATATCCTAGGCACAAGGTAAAAGCAGATACCATCAAAATCTACACAATTTGTTTGCCAACTACTCCTAAATTTGCAAAAATGAACCCTATTTCTCTTTTCTGGAGCAAACTGAATCAAAAAAAGAATAATCACTTTAATCTATTTCTCAAGAATAGAGAACTTCCACATCATTCTACATTTCAATGAACTGACTATGCCTCTCTCAGAACAAGTTAGCAATAAGAGCTCAAATTTTTTAAGATATTTCATGCTCTTCTAATACTCTATTTCCTGTATATAACTTTTTTCTTTAGCTTTTAACATACAGAAATGGTCTTTAACATTTTTAATACTCCATTTTAAGAAGGTACAATATTTTAAAGTTTGATGTCTAGTAAGAAGCCTTTCTCTAGCTTTTTTTTTTGAGAGATTTTTGCTATAGAGTATGTGTGCTCACTGGAGAGACAGAGACAGACAGAGAGATAGATAGCAAGAAATCACCCCCAGGTGGGTGGCCATGTCTCAATCCCTTCTTCTCCTTTCTCTTCTTGGGATTTTGGGAATACACACACACATACACGTGCCCGGCATGAGTTTCAAGCCACTGGGTCCAGGACTCAAACTGCAATCGGCCACATGGGAGTCCAGCAATGGAACCATTATGCCATCTCTGGTTCCTTCCTCCAGTTTTTTAAACTATACCATTTGGTTTTTTACCTCCAAACTTTGTGCTTCTGTTAACTCCTTCTCAAAGCTGGGATCCTTTAAAGATGACTCTAAGCCTTCATACTGAAACAAAGCAACATTGTGAGTAAAAACTACAAATTCTAAAGTTTATCTGAATAGATGCCTAAGAAAGCAGATAAAATCTACTTCTACACGTGTGTTAAATTTACTCGGATTTACTTAGATTTACATTCTTCAGATCTGACCACTACGACAAACAAAGGCAGGGAAGCTAACACATCACAGCCCACTAGCTCAAGCAACAAATGGCAGAACTTCCTTAGGACCAAGACAGTTGTCCAAAGTCTGCTTCTTAGAGAACACATGACTACATGTCATATCAGCATTCTTTACTTAAAAGGAGGTGAAAATTCTAATGGAAAGGTTGTACTAAGATGATCCAAAGGTTTACGCAAAAAATGTACATATGTAAGTTGTCTAATTACTCCTCTCTAACAAATACATCTCATTTTATTTTATTTTATTTTAGAGATTTTTTTAGAGACTTCTGCTATAGAGCATATGTGCTTGCCAGAGAGACAGAGGCACCCCCCAGGGGGTATGGTCATGGCATAATCCCTTCTCCTCCATTCTCCTCTCAGGATTTTGGGCATGCAAGCAAACATGTCTGGTGTGAGTTTTATGCCACCAGCTCCGGGACCTGAACCATGGTCAACTACATGGAAGCCCAGCAACATAACTATTACTCCATCTGCTGGTCCCAAGTAAATCTCTTCTTTAAACTGATTCATAGAAGAGAAATTCAAAGTAACTGGCCATCAAAAAATTTCAAAAAATTCATATCATACAACATACATAAATCATATTATACAACTGTTAATCATTTATTATCTGATATAAATCATATCAATAATAAAACAAGTAAGGAATAAGTAAGGAATATAAGATAAAGAACAATCATCAACAAATTAATAATGACAGTAAAATATACAATTTCATAAGATTTAGCAAAGGAGGTCAGACAATGCACAGTGGTAGGGACACAGCTGGGCTGACCCACAGAAAAGAGTTCTGGGTTCCCATCTAGGGACCCCCTGGGTATATCACACAAATATGCCTATGATCCAGCAGTGGCTGGGACTGGGGTTAGACTGGAGGGGATGCTCTTGCTGGCTGGCACACGCTCTCTCTCTCTGTCATTTATGGATGAAATAGGTTGATACACTTGCGGGAAAAAATAGGCAAAAAGCTGGACAAAAACATCAAGAAACAGAATCTATCTAGAGGCTTAAGAGAGCTATCAAAATAGTAGAATTTTGTGAAAGAGGGAAACCCCAGAAAGGTATTTGATATCTTCTCCCCCAAAGCACATGCTGATAGATTGAGAAACGGAGCAGAGATTTCAGGAGAATCAACCTGAGAAGACAAAACACGAAGTACAGGAGCTACTGAGTAGGATGAGCCATACAGTTTAGGCTTTAGGACAGGACCCTATGCATGGCTGAAAATGACCTCTCCAAAGATGTCTACGCTACTCCTCAGAAATTCCAGGTGTTATTAAAGTAAGGATATTGAGATGAGGAGAATATTTAGAAATAACTTGGTGGGCCCAATATAAACCCAGGAGAAAGGTGACTTCAAGATTGAAGTAGAGTTGGTGTAACGTGGGCAGTGAGTCAAGGAATGTTGGTAGCCTCTAGAAGGTGGAAAAGGTAAGAAACAGATTAGAAGGGATGGTGGCAGGCAGCGCTGTGGTTAAGGATGCTGGACTCTCACACAGCCAACTGCAGTTCAAGTCCCGAACCTACCAGCTTGCTTTTTCATTTTGCCTCTCTCTCTCTCTCTCTTTCTCTCTCTCTCTCTCTCCCCTCTCTCTCTCTTGTCCTCTCTGGTCAAATTAAAACTAAATAAATAAATAAATAAGATAAATTTATTTAAAAAAGAAAAAGAAGAAAAGAAAAGAGACAGATTAGATTCTCAAGAACACTTGGTCCTACATAAAAAAACAGACTTGTTAATACCTTAATTTTAGCCCAAAAGATTCATTTTAGACTTCAGGTCTATACCCCTAATGTTGTAGTTATTTGTTACAGCAGCAACTGGCTACTTTATAACAAAGTTTTAGTTATAAATAAATTAATCCTTTGAACTGGGGCCCAGCTTCCAAGTATCTCATTCTTATTAAAATACTCTAAGGTTTTTTCTCTTTTTTCTTCTTTATTAATGGTAAGGTACACACACACACAAGAGAGAGAGACAAAGGGAGACCCAGCTGAGTACTCTCCATAAAGATTGGTCACACTGTAAGCCCTTCCTCCAGTGCTCCAACCTGTTGAGTCTTGGGCACTCACAATATGATCCAGCATATTTTCAGGCTAACTACACTGAAGAGTCAAGCCACAATCATCATGTGGGATCCAGCTTATTTTGGATAAGTCACAGAGCCAGCTACTGTGACACAGAGCCAGCCCTAATCTAAGATATCTAATGTCTCTAGCATAACTGCCTATGAAAAGAAACAGTAAATTCTCACTGAAAAAAGATAATCTCTTCGACAGCTTCAAAATTTCTCTATAATTCTTACTACACGATCACTGACACTCAATAGAAAATAATCTAGGACTCGTGAACACTTGAGAATCATAAGGAAAAAATGAGAATCATGAGAAAAAAAATGAACAAAAGGACTATTGCATTATGCAAAAATGTAATTCTTCAGCCTTAACATAAACCATTTTATTATGTAAAAGGAAATTAAAAAACATTAAGCCAGAGAAAAAGAAATACAAAGGAAGCCACATTGAAACTGTAAAACCAAAAAAGGTAATATAGGAAATTAAGATTTCTGACAAAAGAATTCATATCTAAAATACAGGAAAAAATTGCCCAGGGGCCAGTAGATGACATAATGGTTACATTGCTAGACTCGCACATAGTCGACCACAGTTTAAGTCCCAGACCCTGAGGCTTAAACTCACACCAGGCATCCTTGTGTGCAAGCCCAGAATCCTGAGAAGACGATGGAAGAGAAGGGATTCCAGTATGGCCATCCACCCTGGGATTGATTTCTCTCTTTCTGGCTCTCTGTGTATCTCTGGAGAGTGAATGCGCCCTATAGCAAAAATATCTTTAAAAAACTGCACATGTTAAAAAAGAAAATGACAAATGACCATACTTTTAAAAATACAAAAAAAAAAAAAAAAAACTTGAAAAGGCAACTTCACAAGAAGGATATCCAAATGGCCAATAAACATATGAAAAGATGGTCAACCTCATTCAGGGAAACACACACTGAAACACAATGAGACATGACTCTACACCTACCACAATGGCAAAAAATTACTAAGACAGGTTGATTGTTAAAGATGAGGCACAAGGGAACTCACACAGTCTATAAACAAAGCTATTTAATAACTTTAAACGTACATGAAAGTACTTGCACTGAGAAGTATGAAGTTCTCTAAGATAAATGCTATTATCAAAACTGTCTTACCTCTTTTTGAATAAGGCTAAATTTTTCAAGTAGCTTACATTTTTCTTCAATTAGTCCAGAAAGCTCTACAGCAAGCTTTCTCTCTCTTCCTAAAAAAGAAAGTCAATATTATCATGAGTAAGTTACAATTTCTGAATTATACTCAACAATATTTTCTAAAATAGAAAATACAGCTTACCTACATAAAGCCGGCTTCTAACCTGAAATTTTCAACAAAAATCATATTAAAACAGATACACATTCAAGTAAATATAATTTATTTAACTTTTGCTGCTAACTTTAAAATGAGTTTCTTATTGCCTTAGTACAAAAATAAGTTAGCCAAAAGTGTTCTATTTCCAATGAGAAAAATGCTATATACTAAGTCTCCCTACTAAAGATTAACACTGTACATTAGCATATTTTTTAAGGCTCTGAAATAACTTTTTAAAGATATCCCTTCATTTACTCCATTGTTTCCCATACAAATTTGATTCTAAAACAAACTATTTTAAGAAACGCTTTTTATAATCGCTCCTTAATATCAAAGTGCAAGTATGAGAAATATTACCATTGGGTCATGGATCTGAACTGACTCTAAAGAAACAGTAAGCCAAATCTTTTTCTTCTTTAACCTTTTTCTCTCAAATAATGATGGAGAGGAGGGAGAATCCATTTGTAAGAGGATCAGGCTTACATTAGAAATAAGGTAACAAAATAAGGAGAAAAAACAAATGGAGGGGCTGGCAGGTGGTGTGGTAGTAGAGGTGCTCGACTCCCACATGGCCAACTGAGGTTCGAGTCCCAGACTTGGTAGCTTGCTTTCTCACTTTCCCTCTCTGTCTCTCTCTGGTCAAATTAAACAATAATGGTAAATAAAACTAAATAATTCTTTTAAAAATCTAGAGACCTAATCCCATCTATAGGATATGTATATGTATAGAGGTCAAATTAAGAGAGAAAAAAAAATTTTTTTTAAGGCAAAGTATATTAGAATGGCAACAGATGAAGAATCAGTTAGTGAACTGAAATATCAGATTGAGAAAGTCTTCCTTTGGGAAGAAAACCACAAAGAAACTGAAAAATAGAAGTTAAGCAATATGGAAGTCAAAAATAAAAGTACCAATGCTTGAAAAATAGTAGTCTCAAAGAGAGAAAAAAAAATTTAATGTGGAAAAAATGTCTCAGAATTACAAAAAGTGAAAGAGATCATGAATTTCAGAGAATTCTAAAGGAAAGTTGGGGAGGGGGGGGGCTGAAGGGATCACACATTACACTGAAATAAGAATATCAAATTAAAAGATTTTGGGGGGAGGGACCAGCAGTTAGCATAATGGCTATGTCACTGGGCTCCCACGTAGTCGACCGCGGTTCGAGTCCTGGACTCAGTGGCTTAAACTCACGCCGGGTGCATGTGCGTGCGTGCCCAAGATCCTGAGAGAAGAAAGGAGGAGAAGGGACTGCGACGCGGCCATCACCCCTGGGGGCTGATTTCTCGCTTCCTGTCTCTATGTCTCTCTCCGTCTTTCTGGCAAGTGCATGTGCCCTATAGCAAACACTTCTCAAAAAAAAAAATAAAACCATTTCTGTGGTGTAATTTCTCCC